ATTTTTTCTTTGATTGTAACTACTCTTGTAATATATTGATTATTTTTATAAATTGTTACTAACATCTGGTGAAAATTTCATGTCATTAGCACCTCTAGTAATATATTTACTGAGAAAAATGGTGGCGTGTTCAATACTTATTTTACCCGCTGTATTTTACTACCACACAGAACACAAACGCACACACAGGCAACAACATGACTGCCCGCCCCACACGGCAGGAAATATCAGGTAACCTGCGTCACCACGCTTGGCCACAGGCGGACTCTGTGCTGCTGTGTATAAGACAGATGGCTGCACACTGACAGATGCATCCACTCAGGACCAGGCCAGTCGGCCAGCCAACCACGATCAGCGAGTCAGCTCAGCGCACTAAGCTGATCTGTAGTCCCGGCAACCGCTATTTTAGCTCCGCCTTTCGACTGAACACAGGCTAAATATCTGGGAGAGGGAGATTAAAGGCCGCACCTTTTTATTCTCCCAATGAAATAAAGCTCTGCTCTTCTCCTGTTTCTTCTGTCCCCATCAGGCTGCCCATCTCCTCTCTCCTCCCAGCAGATGTTTTGCAGGAGAAGAGGCGCCGCTGAGAAGTGGCTCAGAAACCCATCTGGTAGTAATAAGGGGCTCCCTCCACATGTGACTCACGGCTGCACACGCCCACCGCACTATTACAGACTTATTTAGTGTATACAATCATTAGCATGTGTGTGTGTGTGTGTGTGTGGCCATGTGAGCTGAGCTCCACAAAAAAAGAAAGAAAGAAAAAATCCTGGGGTACACCATTTAGACCGCACAAACACGCCCAGAGAAGAAAATACATTTGCAAATACAGTCAAAATCTATCAAAATGGATCAGAACTGGAGCTTGTTGTTGTCTGCGTCAGCCTGACTGAGAATTAATGAATCACTTCCTGTTTGTCACATTTTAAACCTCCTGYAGTTTCAATCCCTGAACCACGCCCAGACACTCATTAAAGGATAAACGTACCGCAGGATCATACGTAGAACTGTAATAAAATGTTTCACTGTTTCCACATACACAGTGGAAATATTCAGGTCAAATGCTAAGACGAATTTAAAAAAGACTCTGTGAGAAAAACAAAAGTATTTTAGCTTTGAAGCGCTGTTCTGTCACATCATCATAATGGAATATGTGACGTATACTGTATATGTATATGTATATGGAGTTTTATATCGTTTCTCAGGCTTGTAAAGCAAAAATGTGACCCTGGTGTGAAAGAAATAGAAAGTTTGCAAAAATAAAACACTTTTGCACACCATTTGTTTTGTTTGCCTCTTCTAATCAKTCGATGGTTTACTCAACTGAAGCGTCACAACATCGACACATACAAAGTCTGTGCTCAGGACTCTTGTGCAGGAACACAGCTGTTGCTTAGATGAGAACACAGTTATACATTAAACAGTGCTGTGCAACAGTGTGGAGGAAAAATGGGCTAAAGTTGCGTCCTTTCTAACCAGAATGTAATTTATTAGAAAGAGTTGTTTTATGAGCCTAAGAAATAATATAAAAACAACTCATGTTTGGCTAGCCATTAATCTAGAGCAGGGATAGTCAATCTTGGTCCTCGAGGTCCGCAGCCCTGCATGTTTTACTTTTTTCCCTTCTCTAACACACCTGATTCAGTCAGTAAATTACCTCTTCCAAGTTCTGCAGAAGCCTGAAAACCATCCATTCATTCAAATCAGGTGTGTTGGAGCCAAGGAGCTTCTATAGAACAGCTGGAGGGCTCAGAAACCAGGTGAGCGTGTGATCGGCTGGAGAAGCTCACGGTTAACGCAAAACTGTCAAGAGTCTGGATTTCCCATTACTGCACATGTTGACAACAGAGCAGAAAAAAAGAACTGACAATGTAG